AAATTACCTCAAACAACAAGAAGCAGCATGAATAAAGCCAGTTTCTATACATATTTTACTGAAGGGTGGCATCACACATCTCTTTTTTTTTTTTTTTTTTAAACAAAAAAAAAAGAAGAAAACGCTCCATCTATTGGTGGGGAGCATCACCTGCTGGAAACCTGGTCCAGCACCAGCGTCCCTTAAATACATCATCTCAGCACAACATTTGTCGGGACTATGGCCTTAACATTTCGTAGCCTGAAGCCCTGCCTCTCCTTTCCCTACGTCCTCCAAGAAGATGTCCCTCGTGCCTGCATCATGATGAGCACTAAGCCACGTTACCAGGGAAGCGAAAGACAAATCCCCGTGCCTGCTGACAATCACCGGTCTAACCGCTGTCGTACCAAATACCCTTACAAGGGTATTTGGCGTACCTTTTGCAAGTCATATACGGTACGATTTTGTTTGTAGTCAACGGCGTTTTGTGTAGCCGGTACGATTTTGTTTGTAGTCAACGGCGTTTTGTGTAGCCGGTACGATTTTGTTTGTAGTCAACGGCGTTTTGTGTAGCCAGGGGCACGGCATTGGCATGGGGTTGGCGAGCTTGGATCGGGAGAGGACCAACGCGGTCCTAACGTAAGTCTTTCTCCAACCGAAATGACCCTCAGTGTCGTGGCATTCCCCCAAGATCAAATTTTTGATAGCCTCGCAATTCAGAACGCAGAGTCTGTCAAACCTGTCTGTCTTTTGGAAAAGCAACCCGTCAGTCACTCTATAATCCGGGACTTCGTGAGGTGCTGTCTGCACCCTCTTAATCATTTCGCTGTAAACGACATCATCAGCGTAGGGAGCCTTAATGTGTTGCTGCAGTTCGGCGCCTGCATCTAGGTAAGTCACAATTGCACCTAAGAAATCTGCGCGTCTACTCAACGCATCAGCGACGACGTTGTATCTGCCCTTGACTGGTTTCAATTCGAAGTTAAACCTGTCCATCTCCCCAGCCCACCTAATCAACTTAGGGGCCATCCGGGGCTAGGTTTTCAGCCAGCGAAGGGTCTCGTGATCGGAGTAGACTTTGAAGTGCCTCCCTAAGAGATAGTGTCACCAATGGTTCAGTGCTTATCTCAATGCAAACAACTGGCGTTCATAGGTCGACAAAGCGACCTTCTCGCTAGGCAATCTGCAAGACATGAACTCGACGGGTGGATACCCCTCTCCATCGTTTTGCTGGAGTACAGCGCCAATCCCGTATTGGCTCGCGTTAGTGGTGACAATGAATGATGGGTCTGCTACTTTCAGGACTGGGTACTCTAGCAGCGACTCTTTCAATTTCTTGAAGGCTGAGGTACAGTCTTTGTCCCAATTCCAGACTGTTTCCTTTCTCAACTGTTTGTGCTATGGAGCAGCAATCATGGTGAAGTTTCGTACAAACTTTCGGTAGTAATTGGCTAAGCCTAGGAACGACCGCAGTTCGGTAAACGTGTGCAGTGTTGGCCAATCAATGATTGTTTCTATCTTCGCGTCTTCCGGTCTGACTCCATCTCCATCTAACACATGGCCTAGGTACAACACTTGACGGTTTGCCCATTCACACTTTTTCGGGTCCAACTTGAATTTCGCAGTGTGCAGCTTGTCTAAAATCGAACGCAGATGCTGCTAGTGCTCCTTTAGGGTCTTGCTAAAAGTCAAAATGTCATCTAGATAGACGACTACGAACTTATCTAGCAACTCACGGAAGAGATCATTCAGGCATATTTGAAAGGGAGCAGGGGCATTCGTTAAACCAAACGGCATGACCAGAAACTCGTAGTAGCCGTAGTGAGTTATAAGGGCCATCTTGTGCTGATCTTCGGGTCCAGCAGACCATCTATCCTGGGCAACGATTCTGCGTTCTTTGCCGTAAGCGTGTTTAAACCCCTATAGTCAATGCACATTCGCAGTTCGGCTTCCTTCTTAGGAACGAATAGGACCGGTGCGCCATAGTGCAATGACCTGGGGTTCATCCACCCCTTCTCTATCAGTTCATCAAGCTGCTTGCACAGCTCATCGAGCTCTTTTGGAGACATTCGGTAGATGGGCCCCTTGGGAAGTTTGCTACCGGGCTCTACCTCTATCCGATCCTTGATTTCCCTTTCCACTACTCCTGTCAGGGTCTCTCCCACATCAGCGAACTCTCTCAACAATTTTTCAACTGCGGGTGACGTTTGCTCCTCCTCCTTCTTGCCCTCACTAACCGGTCTAACATATGCTACAAGGAATTGGTCAACTAAATCGATTTTGACCACGTGCTTGGCGAACGCAAGGGCACTAATACAACAAAGGGACAAACAAGACTCTACTCCACACTCATGAAACAACCGCATTTTCTTTTAACCACCTCCGCGGCTGGGCAACCAACATTCATGCTCGTCCATCTTCACGTCATCCCTCGCGGCCTCTCCCCAATCTGTTCCTAAAACCAGGTCACAAGGTAGGTTGTCCTCCACTAGGAGGGTTAGGGAGTGCACAACTTTCTCTATCTTGTTCCCCCCCTCCAACCGGAAGTATGCCGTTACCCCTTCGACGTACTCTTCGACTCTCATTTCGCGATTGTATGCCAGCCTGCTCAAGACCGACTCGTCCAATTTCAAAACCTTCATGCCTAGGTGGACGTTTTGCAGTCCTCTTCGGCTTATGTAGCTATGCTTAGATCCACTATCAACTAACACACCCGCTCGCTCTCTAGTGGTTTCTACATCTGCTAATATTAACTGCCCTTTACTCTATTCTTCATTTCGTCCCAAGCTTGGCGACGAGCAATCAACTCATCACCGATGCTTGCAAGGGAACCACCCAGAGAGACCCTAGCACAAGCGGTCTCCGGACAACTAACTGGGTGAGCGCTACGTTAGTCTCTGCCATAGGGACCTTCAGACACAAGGGTGCGTGTTCAGTGCGCACTTCTATTTGTCTGTCTGTATCTGAAGGCCCAACATGAGCAACTGTAACTTCAAATGGATGCTCCCTTTTGGCTTGCGGTAATCAGGGCAAAAACAGACAATGTGGTTGGGATCACCACATTTTAGGTATTGGTTGGCGTTAAGCTTTTTTTGCCACAACGATTGGTCGATGCCCATCTCTTTCCAAGGTTGGTCATTAGCGATCCCTAGATGTCCTAACCATGGTCTGCGTCCTCTACCTCTTCCACCTGTGGAGGAGGAACCGCGTCCACCTTGCAGGGAACCATTACCCCTACCTCCCTCATAATAGCTACCTTCGGTACTACTCCCCTGGGTGCCACGTCCTCCTCCTCCACCTCTTCCTCGGCCTCCTCTTCCTCCGTGCCACCCTCCCCCATGGGCTGTAGCAACCGAATAGTCCCCTCCCTGGGCTACTTGGTTGCTGTTGGGCTCTTCCAGTCCGTAATCTATGTTTTATTCTTTCATCGCCCTCCTTTCTGCAGGTACTTCCAGTAATGACATTAAGTGGCCTCCATCAGGAAACCAGGCTGATCTATGACGATCTTACTAAATTCCTCGTACGTCATGCCGTCCTCTTTCGTATGGGGGTACAAGGTGGTCCTTAGAGGATCAGGCATCGCTCTCATGACGTTATTCAGGATCTGAGTGGGGGTTAGATTGTGTTCGGGATATTGCAATAACTCATCCATGGTTGCTTTCAACGGAGCGACACTCTTCCATTTTCGATCTGCTATATTGAGAATTAAGTGCTCAGTGCGTCTGGCCAAGTTCTTATCCTCGAACCTCTCCTTCAGGGCCTTAAAGAAATCCTCTATGTGAGTGCACTTAGAGTATTCCGCCATTGACCAGCAGCCAGCCTCCTTCATTAAGGAGATGGCAAAATTGGCAATATCCCCACCAAGGCATGAGTTCGCCATCAAGACACACTCCCAATATGGAATCAACTGTGCATACAAATACGTGCCCATA